GGGGGGGGGGAGGGGCAGTGTACCGGGAATACAGAAGCTTCACCGGCTTTGCAGCTTGTCCGAACCTCGTTCTAAAATTTTGGATAAGACTCTAACAGAAAAGAAGTTACACGAAGTGCACACTTCCCAGATGACTTTCTGCATGATTATGGAGTAGTTTCTCTTAGGATTTGATGGATATGGTGTTTTGATTGATATTTATGGATGTTAACTCTAATTCTTTACTTAAATTCGTTTATGGAGCTTTGAATTGTTTGCAATTTTCTTCACTAGTTTATTTAATCGAAAGAGGAATATTTTGGTGAATATCCTTGCATTATTTTATTTGGTTTAATTTAGTAATTCTTTTAAGTAATCGAAAGAGCTTGTTGACTTGTTGATTAAATCATGTTTAGAGAATATTCGAGAAATATTTTTCTAGAGACTAATCCATTAACGCATTCTTGCATGTTTCACGATGTTTTATATTAGTTCACCTCATAGAGCTAAAATTTAATTGATAGAGGAGTCTTGGCTACAGTTCAAACTAATCATCGAGTGAATTCGTGAGAATCATTAGAACATTAGAGTGAATTGAGCTAGAGTTGGATCCCAAATAGCTATCTTGCATCTATCTTGTCACGACCCTTATTTCTCCCATTTGATATTTCGGTGTTGCTCAATTCTTGTCTTTCTGTGATCAATTGTTAATTATTTTAATTTTATAGTTAACTTTAGTTGTTAATCATCCCAACCAAAGTTGTAATCATCCTTAATAGTGTTAAGCTAATTACTTAAATATTGTTTAAATCTGATCTTTGTAGAGGCAATAATTAAATTATGATATTTTTAACTAGCGAGCACCAATTACGTATTGTATTTTGCGCTCGTCAAGTTATCTTTATTTCTTTTCACATTTATATTCAATTAAGGTCCAAATCGAACAAAACATGAATCTTACGACTAATTTGGTTTTCACGCTCTATTACTTAAAGTAAATCCTCATATATTTTTTTTAATGAATGTAATGAGTTTTCTTTAATTTGTACATATTCCAAAATATATCGAAACTATGGTAAGATCAAAATAGTTGTTGTGCGGTAAAAAGTTTTGTAGCTATAAATCATCATTGAGGATAAATAGAAAAATTAAGCTATAAATATTACTAAATATAAGAAAATATCAATTGCTTTGGGGACTGATTAAAAAAGAGAATGTCACATAAATCATGACAATGGAAGTAATAAATGTGCCTCACACTTATAACATAGGTTTTGGAATAAATTTAACGTAAAAAGAAAAAAAAATTGAATCGGAAGAAGTAGTGCTTTGGTTTTGGTCTAGCAAATGAAAACTAGTGTTTACTTTTAATATATTAGCCTTTGATATGCATATTGCGCGTGTACTCTATTTTAATGAATAAAATTCTTTAAAAAATTTAAATAAATACTATACTAAATTTTTTGCTTGAGTATAAAATAAATATTAAGAAGGGAAGCTTGGCGTAATTGGTAAAGTTGTTACCATAATATGATCAGGAGATTACGAGTTCAAGCCGTGAAAACAACATCTTATAGAAATATAGGACCGGATATCGCGTACAGTGAAAGCGTAGTGCACCAGACTACCCATAAAATAAATATTAGCAAAAGTATAAGTTTCTAAAAATGATGACTTGTCATTTGTCAAGTAAGAAATTCTACTCCTGGTAAGTACATACATACCAAATAAACTCTAAATCCATTTATTAAAAACAAGATACTAAAAGATATCATTGCACGTAAATAATTGGTTCTCACGTTGTCTCTCTTTGTATATCCTCAAATTCCTTGTATTTCCTTTTCTCCCCTTATTCTGCGGAAAATCAAACGAGAACGTACCTCTCCTTTAATTCCTTTAGATAATCATCTTTAATTATGGCTTCCTAATTAAGTTGCTTTTTAATTTGTTTTCTCTAGATGGCCTTATCTTTAATTATATACACCGTTCAACATTTTTACGTTCTTTGGCTCTTTCCATATATATCAAAAGCCCACATATTTTGGATATTGTACGTGACGTCTGTTATCTAGACACATTCTATTATAGTAATAGACCATTTGTAAAACTTTGATTTTAGTTACTGCTTGTGAAATCCAGTTAGGTTTTTTGTCAAATATATACTAACTCTTTTCATTCAAATTTTTTGCCATTTTTAAAGGGTGTGAGATTCTCAATCTTTTGGTGATTTGATCTTTTAGAATAAAAGAGATGAGTTGTTTTTCATGTTTTTCATCACATGAAAAGAAGTCATCTCGAAACTCACATAATAACAAAAGAAAAGAACCTTCACCTGCAATTCATCCTCAAGGAGAGACCCTATTTCAACGGCAAACCTCGAAACCAAAGCCACAAACACAAACACATCAAAATCAACAGTCTCGATTTGGTAAGAATGTTGGTAAAACTACATTATTTACTTTTCTAGAATATATTCTTTTTGTTGGGGCATAAATATTCATTAACATATAACTTGAGGAAACTCCGATTTGAACATATGCTATGCATTTGCCCTCTTTCTATCCGCAAAGCTGAGGCGGGAGAAAACGTGATTTCTGGTGTCGTCGGTTACCTTTTTTTATATATCTTCCTCTTCCCTCACGTTCTCAAAGCGATTGCTATCCTTTTTTCTTGCTTTCTTCTTGTCTTAAAGATGATGATGGAATTTGATTTTCTTAAAAAAGATTACACTCCTTATCTTAGAGTTTAAGTTTATTTTTTAGAGTCAATTTCACATGCACATTATGAGGCAGTTTCACAATGACCAGAAAAGATCATTGGTTAGATTGCGTTCTTAGACATCATGATGCAATTTTATGCTATCTCAACTGGACATTTTTCTTATAACGATGGTGTTTGAGCCAATTTATGATGTTTGACTTAATTAACACGTACCTTAATTATTCGATCAAGTATATATTACTTTCTATCATTATAGATTAACATCGAATAACTCCGACCACCAAAATCTCATCTGGACATGTATATTTGTAACTTCCAAGTTTTCACATGTTTGTCCGTTGAGCTTTAAGGTGCCTGGGGTGGAGGGAGGTTGGAGTAATTTGTGTCATTTTGTTGAGGGAAAGGTTATTTTTGTAAACTTTTTGGCCTTTTTTATGTAAGAGAAACCTTCAATACAAGATTTTGAACCTCGAATTAGAATCAACATTTTTATATAATGACATTAGTCTATGGCAAAGACAAATCTTTGGATTGATGTTTTATTTTCATAGTTCTTCTAAATCAGAATTTTATACAAATAACCAGTCAGATTCACTATTCATTTATTTTAGTCAATATACATAGAGTATACAATGATTACAATAGGTTCTACACATTATATAAATTTTTTTATGCATATATTGTATGTCTGTCGGCTATTTAAATTTAATCGGTTGATTGCACAACTATTTAGGTTAATTCTTTTAAATCAAATTTCCCATTTTGTTTGCAGAAGCCACATACCAAAAGACATCTTATAAAGATGAGGGCAATAACAATATTGCAGCTCAAACTTTCACATTCAGAGAATTAGCAACAGCCACAAAGAATTTTCGCCAACAATGTCTAATAGGTGAAGGTGGATTTGGACGTGTTTACAAGGGCCACCTTGACAAAACTAGTCAGGTACTTCAACATTTAAAACTTTTCTCTATATGGTGGTAAGGACGCAATACATAATGTGTCGATTATGTGTGTCGAAGAGGCTAAGTGATAAAAGTGTGTCTCCTCTAAGAACTTAAGATTTTAGATCACACACTTCAATATGGTATCAGAACATAAAAAGGTTTTGGATTCAAGTCTCAATGTTACCCAAAAATGATTTCCACGTGCTTGGTCAATGAAAAAAAAAAAAGATTGAAGCCGGCATGTGATTATTATTTCCCAAGATCCTACTTATAGGATTATACTTAATTTGTTGTTATTGTTATTATTATTTAACTAAATTCTTTCCCTACCGGTGGGTTATTTCCCAAAATCTCAAACCTGTGCCCCAACTGGAGCCAGACTCCCATAGGGGATTTATTTATTCAATATTAAAACAAAAAAAACGTAAATAAGGAAATCGATTGATGCTGAAAAACACTAACTATTTGTTTCATTTGTCTCTTCAGGTTGTAGCAGTGAAGCAACTTGATCGCAATGGATTGCAAGGAAACAAAGAGTTCCTTGTGGAGGTGTTGATGTTGAGCCTTTTGCACCATTCAAATCTTGTAAATTTAATTGGATATTGTGCTGATGGAGATCAAAGACTTTTGGTGTATGAATACATGCCTTTGGGATCACTGGAGGATCATCTACTAGGTACTTATTTTACCTTTAGTTATTGTTAATATTATTTTTGGATTTTGTATCGGATATTCTATATCTATATTAAGGCTCGACTAAGTTTGATTTTGCGCTTAAAAGTCTCATCTTGGGTGGAGGAGTAAAATACTTTAATAAAGGTGACTTCTTACCTAGAGCTTGAACTTTCCAAAGTTTCATCGTATCAACACACTTGGTACAACATAACAAAGTCAAGAACCTAGCTAGTCATTGTCCTCAATCATATGAGAAAGTTGAAAGTAGTGAACTTGACATATACCACTTGACCAATATGCTTTGTGTACATTCAAGGGAAGAGCTAGTGGGGTATTGGAAGGGGTTAGCTAGAACTTTCTTTGTGAGAAAATCACATTGTATACCCAACAACAACAACAACACCTACCCAGTATACTCCCACCAGGTGGGGTCTGGGGAGGGTAATATGTAGACGGCCTTACCCCTGCCCGAAAGGGCAGAGAGGCTGCTTCCAATCGACCCCCGGCGAGTAGAGTAAAAATGGGACCGCTGCATTAAGAAACAGAGATAAAATTAGCAACACAAGCCATACAAAATCAAATAATAAAGCATAGGTACTCCCACAAAAGTAACGTAAATAGTTATGAAAACATAAGCAACATAAATACACAAATACAGTCGCATGTAGTACTATCAAGCAGTTACTACCATACTAAAACACTTATCACCTATGAGCCCCCCTAACCTACAATCTTGATTCTAGACCTCCAGACTCCCCTATCCAGAGTCATGTCCTCGGTAACCTGCATTATGGCCATGTCCTGCCTAATCACCTCACCCCAATGCTTCTTAGGCCTCCCTCTCCCTCGCCGACCACCAACAATCTCCAACCGCTCGCAG